ACCACTGCTAATCATTTATGTAGAATCCATATTCTATGGGATATCAGATACTTAATGGTGCTGCTCAGATCTTATTTAGCGTGCAGGCGTTTGTGCTAGGACCGCGCTTGATCCTGAGCATTCGAGAATATCATGCCAAACTCGTGGCCGAATCCGACGCAGAAATTAGCATGAACTCGATCGTCTTCCAGAAGCGTGTACATGTACCAACTAGCAGTACCGTGTAGAGAAATGTTTTCTGCATGAAGGAGATATTGGTCGAGGATCCGTCATAGTATTTATTTTAGTTATGGTTTTTCAAAGTATGTTTAAGACGAGGTGTATGTAGACAAACCCTTTTCTTTTCGTGTCACTACCGTGACTAGAAATCGACGGACCGCTCGCCGCTCGCCAACACTTGCATCAAGTGGCAAGCCGAAATTATCCAGAATGTCTAGCAACCAATCCAGTACTCGATGACTCATGTCTAATACTGAAATACAACGAAGAATCAGCATACCAGGCAGCTGATTCTACGTGTGTGCAGAGTTCCGCTGAGCATATAGATGGTGATGTGTCCGCGAAACCTGAAGCCCACATAGCTGATTGCTCATTAGTCTGAAGTTTGTTTTCATCCATCTGGGCCACGGAGGAGGACGAATGAATTGCACGGACTCATCACTCAACTGGATACTCCTATCAAAAATGAGCATGGCAAGAAGATGAGGTATGCTGAGCGGAGAGTATACAGTTAGAGAATGGGTGCTTCAATTCAGAAGGTTCATACATACATACATTATTGGAGTCACGCTATCGTAGCGATGCGCGCATGCGACTGCAAACAATGTGTCGGGTTTGCGTCCTTGCAAGATTTGTTGGAGCCCATCCTGCTAAGCACGACCGAGTAAAGCATCAGTAAAGCACCATACGAGATAAGTACATACATGTGGCTATCATTGAGACCGACCCTTGGCCAGCAGATGATCGATTGAGCACTTGCAAGACGATGCATTGCTTCACGTGATTATCTGCTGATGTAGCGTGTCTAGCTGATAGACCAGAAATTCTGCGCGCGCGGAATACTTTGGAATCGTCCGTCTAAGGACGTATGAGGAGAAGTGAGAGTGGTTGTACAAGGACAGATGACTGGTGATGCTATGGCCTTGCTAGAAAACATTCCTTCAACACCATGGCGTCATCTGGACTGAACGAATAGAAAGCGAGGGGAGCTAGAAATAGCGTGGAGCACTTTAGACAGCTGACAGTCTGATAGTACAAGGGTTCCGCAGAGTAACTCCCGAACTAGCGTTTGTTTGAACGCGAAGATGAAGGGAGATGGTGATGCTATTCGAAAGGGTCGTTGGAATGTGCCATGTCTCCCACTCGTGGGCCGTTGGAATGACCAATAACGACTCAGACAGCTCGAACTTGTGGGTGACCCGTGACATGCGGAACGAAACAGCACAGGATATGAGTGAGGAAGAACAACGACTTCTCAAAGCGGAAATTGAAATATCTGCTTGGATTCCACGCACTACCATGTATAGCTCAGGCTCTTGGACAACAGTTTTAAGCGGCAGTGCGCGCCTCAAAGCCTCACGCGCACGCCCGGATGCATGTTCTATCAACGGCAAGCGCTAGTGGCAGTGCATGGCAGGGCCTTAAGCGAATCCACATATCAGCTATCACGAGCGGTGCCGCAGTGCGTTCACGTCAGCAGTAGCATGTATGTTCTATCCGTGATCCTACTGGGGGTACACCATAATAAAAACATGCATGACCGCAATATTACAGTCCTACTAGTTGGCCATCAGAGGACTGGTGAGCTGCAGATATGTATATCGAAATCTCTGATTAGTCTCATGCACGAATAGCACAGTGTCGCCTGGCCTGAACTCGGATGCTGTTGAGTGGTCGTCAGGAATAAACGTTCAACCACGTGATTCTGGCATCTGCCACACAGGAAGAACATGTTTCTGCCACAGTGCCAGGTTCTGCCAGAACTGCCCACGACATCAGCACTGATTCAAGGGCCTTGGCACCGATTAGGAGGTGGAAACATCCATCACCATCACTGTGCCGATTTTGGTGATACAAGCGCTGAACGACAGTATATCTAGCACGAACATTGGATCGTTACTATGACCCTCAACATCCCCTGCTCACTCACATCCATCCCTCGAATATGGCCCTGATCTCAAACGATCCCAGCTGGTGGCCTATAATCAATTCGTATCTTACTTACAACTATTGGAGTGGTTCGTCCATCAGTTGGTGAAGCCCATGTCTCGATCTAACATTGGCTTATGTCGCAGTTGCTGGAGGACTCGTTGTGGTATACGATTGGGGTGAGCAAGGCAGTGTTCGAAATGTGCTGATGCTCTCATGACATTCCAGGATTAACATTTGGACAAGAGGTGGGTCGGTGCTATTGCTGGAGCAGCCAACTTGCTAAGAATGGTGTCATAGACTGAACTGATATGGGTGAGTGACAGTCCCATATCAGAATAATGACAGAAGAATACAATGAAATTGCGACAGAAGCAACGCTGGTCTCTCATGACTGTGCTATACCTAGTTGTTCGTACCTCATGTTATGGCGTGATTGGTAGCTGTGCTGACTCCAAAATATTCTAGATACGCTATATCGGAATACCATATTCTATGTATGTGTCGAAACCAACAAATTGGCACTGTGCTAATAAGTCATCTCTGACGATTAGTATTGTTACTCTGCGTATGTTTCATATGTGCTATGTTTGATGCTTCTGACTAGCAACGCACAGTAAGTATGACATTCGTCTCGATGACAGATGCAGTGAGTACTATCCAGTAACCATCATTTCCATCCAATGAATACACTCATTTGTAGGGGTGAGTAGGAATCTGACCATTTATCTTCAAGTGGGCTCGACATCATGACTCAATAGGTGTGAGTCCGAGTGTTTGATCCTAGTACCAGGGTGATCATTAATTGGGTATTTCAGGCAATATGATGGACTACCTAACAAATGTGACATATATGGTCGTGACTGCCGTGCTAGGTGGTGAGTCAGTTGCCCAGAGCAATACCTCAGTGATATTGACTCGACTGAAACACGATGCAAGTCATCATGATCGCTCGCTTGCATGCCATGTATCAGTTGAGAATTATTCTCATCTTCCTCGTTATTATCTTCTTGGCTGTTAACATCGCCTATGTGGTAATCGTGTCAATAGTGCTCAGGGATATTGTAGCGGGTATGCTTTACTTTTTAACCCGAAGAACATAGCTCATTGGACGGATACAGAGGAGTTAATACTCTCTGGCACCCATATGTGCGGTTATGAATATGAAGGGGATGCCCAGCTTCTATTTTCAATGTTTTGGATGCTCTACACTCTTTGGGAGGTCCTCGCACTGTTTCTTTCAGTCTGGAGTGCTGTGAAACATTTCCGTGACCTGCGACGAATCGGTTCATCTTCAGGATCGACCATCAAGGACGGTTTCAGAGTGCTGATAAAATCTCACGTGCTTTACTTCGCCAGGTGAGCTTGTAATGTGAATGTGCTTATAATTTATGCTCAAGTTCCGCATATGCTAGCTTTGTTGGTGTCTCTTGCCTCCAGCTCGCGCTTCTCTCCCCAGGACTCGAGGTGCGCTGACCTGTCGCTGACATTTCCTTGTAATTACTACCTATCATTTCTATAGAATTCATACTCTAAGGGAGCTTCGATACTCGCTGGTGCTTTTGAAATTGTAGTGGGCGTGCAGATGTTTGTGCTGGGACCACGCCTCATTCTTAGCGTTCGAGCATATCACGCCAAAGAAATCAGCATAGATTCACTTGCCTTCCAGGAGTATGTATATGTACCAACTAGCAGTATTGTGTAGGGAGATGCTTGCCGAGTATTCTGCATGGAGAAGTTTGGCCGAGGATCCCCCATGGTATTTATTCAAGTTATGATGTTTCAAAGTGTATTTCAGACGTAGTTTGCACAAGACGAAGTTATCTGTTTCATACGGTACTCTATAGTGATAGTCAATGTAATCAATATATCAGCTATTCCTTGTTATAATTACAAGGGCCATCCATCGACATCAGGACATCACGAGATCACTTTTTTACCCATTTATATTCCCACTACCCTATGAGCCTGGGTAGTGGTTAATATTTACGAGATCTTGAAAGCGCAGGCCCGGCGTTGCTGTCAACGTTAACCTTGCAAAAAAAAACGCACCAACTTGAACTTCGGTGCAGATCGTATTGACGTCGTCCGAAGATACCGAGCACGGAGAGACTCGGGATGCCAAATAGCAGGTACGAGCGCAAGGGATATGTCGGGGGAGGGAGGAACGGAGAAGGAGCTGTTGACGTCGGGACCGAAATGGTCCAAAGTAAATTTTTACCTTCAAAATAATCGAGAGCGCTTACCGTATAAATACTAGTGCCCAACCGTTACGAGCGTCTCAGTTCTTTCCAGAGACTGAGACGTGAGTCTATACCTTTACCATTATTGTTACACTTAACTGACTTAGCATAGTTATTCTTACCTGTTAGGTACACACTTCGTCAATATGAGTTCTTTCCAGAGACTGAGACTTATTCTTACCTGTTAGATCTTTTCTATCCCGCTCTACCTCTAATCTCTAGAGGTTATGAGCCCTGCCATGGCCAACGATAATACACTCCCCAGTACCACGTCAAGTCTGTTCAATGTCCCAAAGTTAGCTGAAGACGGCACAAATTGGATCACCTACAAGGAAAGAACAATGACGGCGATAGGCGCTCGAGGTTTGATGCAATATGCGGACGGTTGTGCAGTCGAGCCAATACCCTTCCTCCTTGACGAGATGACGGGCCAGCTGCTGAAGGCAGATGGTTCGACACCCACCCAAAAAGCTCTCCCAGCTCATCCCCCCTCCGACACGTCACGTGATTTTGTTAAAACTCGGTTTCTCATTTGTAAGCATCTGGTACAAAGTGTACACCCTGTGCCGCTTACCTTTTTCCTCGAGGTGCAACGGAACCCCACAATACCATTTTGGACACATCCATTGCTCGTCCCCCTCAATTCCTGTCCGCCGCCGCCTGCCACTGCTGCAATGCCTGTTCCTGTGCCACTGGAACCAGTGAATGAGGGGGAAATGGAATCAGGCGACGAAGTTGGTGATGGTGTGGAAGATGACCTTGTGGATACGTTCTGTCAACAGCTCGACACCAGGACATTCCAGGAACGCATGCTCACACATGTCAAGAACATCCGTGATTTCTGTGATGGCCTTAAGTATCAAATTCAATTTAATGACTTTAGAATGCTTACCGTTCTCGAATGCAATGGCTCATCATTCCTCCGTCTGGCAGATAATTGTCTCGGTCGAGAACGACGAGAAAACTCGTCTCGATTGCGGAGCCCAACAACCTGGGAAAAAGGTACCACCGGCGCTATGTTTTATCGTGCTTGTTCATCATCCCAGTGACCACATTCATAATCACTCTAATAACCACTTAATCCCTCTAGCTAGTACAGTACATATATCTCTTTATTCATCGCCATTGTCACATACTATATACTTAATACATATTACATTAATATTAATAGTGTTCAAGAATCAACTCAGAGAGACTTGAGAGAACAAGAAAATAAACCGTCATAGCCTTTTTTGGATGCCGGCAGGAGGTCACGTGACGTGTCGGAGGGGGGATGAGCTAGGTGAGCTCACCCAAAATGAGATTGACAAGCTGGATAAGAAACTTGATGAGTATCTGCAAAAGAACTCACTAGTAAAACAGCAGATATTCTGCACAATATCGGATCACCTCCTGTTGAGGGTCCAAAAGTTCGAGGCCACGTGCGAAGTCTGGGCAGAGATCTGCCAGATCCACGAAGGCAAAACAGAACTCGTGCAGATTGACCTGCGCAGATGCCTGCAGGAAACGAGGTGCAAAGAATCAGGTGATATCAAAGCCCATTTTGCAGAACTCCTACATTTGCGGGAGTTGCTAGCAGGCATGGGCGCAGCCATCCTCGATACCGACTTCCATGCCATCATACTTGGCTCCCTTCCTGAATTGTATCGCCCCCTCCTCTCATCGATCAATGCCACAGCAAAGATTGTTAAGACCCCGCTGACGTCCTATGAACTGATCAGCATTGTCTAGTGCTGCCGCGGTCCGGTTCGGTCCGGTTCTTGACGGTGTTTTGTCGAACCTAGAACCGAACCTTGGGTCCTGGTTCAGGCAAGGAGAGCGAACACTGGACCGGACCCTTATGAACAGCATTCGCAAACATTCGGTTCGAGTTCAGAACGTGTTCAAACGTCTGAACGCAATAATATCAATTTCAAAAAAATTTGAGTGCAACATGAAAAAATCGATGAGTAACTACTAACTACACCATATCCACGACAAAGCATTCACGAGCTGTGGCAAACTCAGCTTGAGCCGTCGTGGAAATATGGCCCTGACGATACCCACTCTTCAATAGTTGAAGGGCCTCGAAAGTCGATGGCAGCAAACAGTTGCGGTGTGAAGTACTGTTGATCCTGCCGCTTGAAAAAGCTCGTTCAGATGCAACAGCGGAGCCTTGAATAGCTAAGTAGTCCTTAGCAATGCGAGAGATGGTAGGATATTGAATTGAATGATGCTAAGAACATTTATGTCAACTTGTAAGGAATAATGAATCAAAAAAAAACACTCACACCCCACCAAGCTACTACGTTCTCGATGTCCTCGAGCGGGGAAGCCAGGTAGTCCTCGAGTTCTTGACGAGGCCTTCGGCTTGCAGTGTCACTCGCAACACGGGATTTAACAGTGTCACACATCCAACTGTGGCCGTACGAGCCTTGGCGTGAAAGAGAGGAAGGGGCCACAACAGCAGGCTCTGCGTCCGGCAAGGAATGTTGGTGATAGTATTTGTCGAAAACAGTCTGCAGGTGTTCCATGCCCTTGTCGCTTTGAGTTGGCCATCAGATCCAAGTGCGCACAACATTTGTGCAGCAAGGAGGGTGGGGATTGAACCTGTAGTTAGCAGCTTGTCTATACTAAAACTTGTGATAAGAGATCAAAAAAAAAGACGCACCTTGAACATACTGTTGCCATGCAATTACTTGATGTTGAAGCTTGAGGTACCGGAACGAGAAACCGGAGGATATGTTCTGAACATAAAAGACATTATAGTCTGAATAAAGATTAACATTTGATTAACATTGGGCTTACCAGAACATTGAGTGGATTACCAAGGAAGTCAGATGTTGCCAATGGAAATGTGTTGGGTGTTTTGGCTGCGAAGTCAGACCCGCTGTTGATTGTCCCGAGATCGATTGACATGCCTGTTGCCAGAAGATCAGAGCAGATACTGGTGGATCATGCAAAGAATCTGAGAACACGTTCGGATGGGTTTGAACGGGTTTGAACGGGTTCACAGTATTCAGGCAGCAGCCGAACGCCGAACCTAATAATCGGTTCGGTCCTTATATTATGTTGAACCTAGGACCGAACCCACAGTCCGGTACGGAAGCATTCAGGTCCAAACTGAAGTTCAGAACCGGACTGCGGCAGCACTAGCATTGTCACCAAAGAGTATGAGCACCGCCTCCTCACAGACTGCTGCCCCTCCAAAAAGTCCAAGGACTTGGCACTATCCACCAAAGAGACCAAGGGAAGGGGCAGGAAGCCTTCGTCCTCGAGCTCCAAAGCTGATCTGGACGTCACGTGCTTCAATTGCGACAGGAAGGGGCATTATAAGACAGATTGCTGGAGGAAGGGTGGCGGCAAGTAAGGGCAAGGTCCCAACCAGCAGAGGCGGAAGGACAAAAAGGGGCAGAAAGAGACAGCCAATACGGCTGCAGAGGCTGAAACTCAGGATCAGTACATGTTCGTCACCACTCACCTGTACCTGTAGTATTGAAGCTTCAAAGTATGAGATTAGACACACACCTTGATGCACAAATGACTCTAAACCATTGACAGTGAAGCATCAAGCCAGAGAGTACTGTGAAGCATCAAGCTAGAGAGCACCACCTGCCCATCAATATAGACACAAAGCTGACATAAGGCCCCTTCTGCTATTCTTGTGAGCCCAATTGTTTTGGTGCCTCTCCACCGTTTACAGTACTGAAAGATCTCAGTTCCTGATCTTAGAGCCTGATTCCATCATTGGTGCTTCTCTGTCTTGTTGGTGCTTCTGTCTGTTGTTGTGCTTGGGTGCCTCTCCACTGTTCACAGTACCAGGAACCAACAAAATGAAAATTGCTATATTTAGCTAACATACACTAGACAGAAAACATCAAAAAAGCTCTACTATGATGCGGGGGATTCCATAGCAGGTGATGGGGACTGGAGAAGGGCTGGCACAACACTCCACATCTCCTGAAATCTGTCTCACATGGCCCTCCGAAGAGCAGCCTGGTGCCTTGCATATCCACGGACACCCTCCTGTTCGGGTGTGGCTAGTGCCATCCTCCAGCTTGCTTGCTCCTCCCACCACCCTGCGTGCCACGAAAGAAAGCTGACTACATGCCGCATCTCCTCTTGAAGGAGTTCGACTTCTTCATCCCAACAATTGGCGCGCGCCCTTGATTTGCACCATTTGATACGCAAAGCTACCACATGCGTAAGGATAGCTCCGTACAACCAATCATGCAAATGCTTACCTTCTGATAAAACAGCCTCGCCATCTTCTCCAATTGCAGCCACCCCACGAGCCTTCCATATCCACAAAAGTGTGTGGTTTCCCTCGGATTGGCCAATATCTCCCTCTGACATCCCGCAAACATCAGCCGCCAGCAGCTGAGGCAATTCTACCTCCCAATCCGGTCTGTCCAGCACCGTTGACAGCGTCTTGACTGCCACCCAGGCCCTACGATACCGAGCAGCAGCTGTCCCAATGGTCTGCTCCACTTTTCCGAGCATGGCAGATGCCCTGGTATTGGCCCGTTGCCCCCGAATGTAAGTGTCCTTGAACTTGTAGAGATGTGCGTGAAGACGGAGTTGCTGGCAAATGTCATTGAGAGCTTCGTGTGCCTGTGCACGTCGCAATTCCCACTCATATTCACAAAGCTGCTCATCACACGACATCTCGGCTGCCTCCTTCAGCTTTGATGGTAGCCAAAGCTTGACTTCGTAGGCCTTCTCCTCGTGAGCTGATTGTGCACCTACCATTTCAGATGCACGCAAGCGACTGACAGCGGGCATGTAGAGTAATTGGACATTGCACCACTGATCTATCTTGCACAGCAGTGCATTCAAACGCTCTTGCAGCTTCATCCGCTGCAAGTCTGTTGGATGGCTACTCAGGGCATTGTGATCTTGCTGCAGCCGAAATCTGTAGATTATTTTATTAGAAAATGCCAAATAAAATACGTTGAAAAACTTACTGTTGTTCCTTGAGGTCCATTCCTGACGAAATGAGTATGCTGTGTAACACCTCCGTGTGTAGTGATTTGTTAAAACCTCTTTCAAGGTCTTCGGCTTCCTGTTGTGAGAGTCTCAGGCGCACAGCAGCCTGCGTCAAGGCTATATATGATCAGTGAACGTAATAGATAGTGCAAATTCACACTTACTGATGGTTGTTGTCTCGAAGGGATTTTTGTTGGATGTGTCGGCCTCCCAGTTTTTGATAGCTTCTTTCCACCCTGCTACCTCACCTGGTCATTCTTGCATGAGTGTAACATGAAAGTCGTCGAAATCTTGTTGGTGTCGGTCATGTTCGGGAATTGCAACCTTGATTTTGCTCAGCAAACTAACACCTAAAGATTTTCTTGGTTATTTATGTTGGGTGTGCTGAAGTAAATGACATGTACCAAAGTTTGTAACTTTCTTCCAATTGTAGTCGCCGAAATGGTCATCCAGTGTATCTTGACGAGCTCCAGGACCCATCTCCCATGTACTTGTAGCAACGGGGTTGATATTCGCCCAACCTCATTCTGGAGCCTCGCCATCCGTGTGCCCCATTCCTTTGATAAGATTGTGTGAAAATGTAACCTGGCACGTAGTGATGTGAGCAGGCAAGTGGAATTTCGGGACAAGAAAGGTCATGATTTTACCATCACACGTGAAGTGCATGCGTGAGGGGTATTTTGACATCCGGCCCCATAGGTGTTTGCTCCATCGACAAGCAATATTGTATGACACGTTCAATACGATGATATCTTCAGAATGTTGCATGGTCGACAAAAACAAGTAATCCATGTTGATATACCTGTTACAAAGAATCAGCGGGAACATTTTCATATTATCGAATACATACTTTTCACCCTTCTGAAGGTCACCCACCCCACATGGCCGCTTGAAGTTGTGACGAGAACAATCCACAGTCCCAGCTCCAGTTGCAGCCAATCCTCGCAAGTTCTTCGTTTCAGCAAGATTCACGGCATTGTGACTAGCACATGTGCTTTTCTAGACCAGACATTTGAGTAATTGTATTGAAAAAAAACGTTAACATACCTCTTGTGGTACTGTCCCAACATCGGTCAGGAATCCTTTGAACCCAGTCTCCTCAACGAAATAAGCCCATCCTCTACTCAAACCAGGGTCAATCCTGTCCAAGGAAACATTCTTACGTGCCAAGCAGAAATTCACATCAATGGCCAGAAATTGTGCATACAGCCACCTGCAGGCATAAGTAAGCTAATCAAGCAAGGGCGTGGACGCGTACCATTTGTCCGGAAGCGCTACTTTCCAGTCTTCTGGTAAGTTCTTGCCTGGGTGGGGGCAGGCAGGACAAACCACGGCACATGACCCCTGTTCAGTCGCATTGATGCCAGCGGGGTCATGACCTCAGCCGAATCACTTCAAAAGCTTAAGATTACGCCATTGTTTGATCATGCACAAGAGACTGTCATAACGATCCTAAGGAATCTGTAATTAGTGAACTACACTTTCATCGAGACACGCTACTATTTACCTTGCATGGCTTGATGCCTGTATTATCGGTAAGACATGCCAGTGTTTGCCAATATTCGAAGGCAGAGGCTTTGGACTCGAACATAAGCATGTGGAAATGCTCGAGAAGATGGAACATTGCCGCTGATTTTGGATCTATGCTGGTCGCAGGATACCAGCGAGCTTGCAGGATTTGGTTGATATGACTTAGTGCACTCTCATGAACAAAAATCTAAGGCGAGTTCATGGATACCATTAATGTCGAGAATGATAAAATCATCATTGTAGGCACGGGAATGGTTGAAACATTGTTCGCCAACTGGGTGGCCAAGCTGGACACGGAGTCTGAGATACTTGAGTGTGGTATCCTCGAAGAAAGAACCATTCCAGAACTTGAAGGGTGATTAGCACGCAACTATAGAAATGTAAAATAGGGTACATACTTCGATCTTGTGCAAAGGGTTTTCGCAGTGCCTGTTCACGATACACCCTTGACAGTAGAGCTCTGTCCCAAAACAATCCCAGCAATGATATCCAGGCTCAGATGCGCATTCGCTGTGCCCTTGGCAAGTTTCCCTGGATGTGTAGTCCCCACGTCCTTCGAGTCTGATCAACTCAAGAAGATACTTTTTGCGCTCATGAAGCCAGAGAGCCATTGTGTGGTCCTGTAGAGTTGAAGTTAGATTAAGATACCATATGGTAGAATGGTATCATACACCGGTTGACCTAGACATTTCTTCAGCCCAACAGTAGACTCCTTCAAAAAATTCTCATATGCAGGATCCACCATGTCATAGTCTATAAGTTCAGTGTCAGTGTGTGTATGTGAATAAAACCCGAAATCTTCCATAGTTATGTCGGCTCCTGATGGTGGGTGAGAGATGACTGAAGATGGCTCATGTTCAGCTACAAAGAATTCTGTTTCAGATGCTACCTTGCCAGAAAATGTACGAGTGAAGCAAGAATGTTTGTGGTAAAGCCTGCGCTCCTCGGCTACACGGCTTTGGGCTTTCTGATGCTGATCGTTGATAGACCAATCTTGCTTGAGCTTGTCCAACGTGTGTCGTTTTTTACTAACTATGGTGTGAGGCAAGGCTTATAGACACTGCGCGACAGCACAATCATGAATATGATCATGTGGTACATACAACAACTTATAGCACTGCAGCAGAATCAACCTTTTTCACGCCTTTGTCACGCCTTTTCTGTGTTGAAAAAGGTTGATTCCACTGCAGTGTAGCTAGAGTCTAGACACTGCGCGACAGCAACACGATCACGTGGCACATAGCACATGCAATATTCTACATAATGTAAGGACATGGCAATTTCGAGTAGTTACAGAGACACTAATATCTGTTAGTTATAATTTTAATGCCTTCTGCCACACCAACTGATCAGACATGAGAGCTTCAAAGTACATATCTGCGCTATCATCCATCAATGAGAGTACTTCGTCCCATGCATCGCAATGCAGCTCCACTGTGTCAACAGTGGCTGCAGACTTTGAGATAAGATGGCATGTACATGTACCTTCTGCATGTAATGCGCCCGCAAGCACCTCCCTAGCCTCTGAAAGAAGTTCTTGCGCCTCTGATACTATGTATTCATAAGTTGGCCTTACAACCTGCCAACCTTCGTCATCCACTTCATGGACAAGCATGAGGCCCTGTGACTGGAGAACAGTGTATTGAGAATGGCCTGGCTGATAGCCAAGATTGAGCCATATCAAATCTAGTCATGCTAGAAAATGTTGGGTAGCCTGTCTCATGGTTCATCCGGTCAGTGTAAAATGTAAATTTGATAGTATATGGCATACACACCACAGTAGCTCCCAGATGCTTGCGCCAATGAGTCCTAGATTTCAAGCGCTCATCAAGCTTGTGCCTACGTGAAATGCGACAAATTGTAATCCATGTCATACTGAAATTTAGACTTGGAGGCTTACCTTTCATAACACCTGCGCTTAGATTCCAGTCGGGCATTGTGATGTTGTTGCTCGTTCTTATACTTCGGTGGCATGAAGTCGAAAAAGAAATTCCAGGGAGGAGTGTAATGACTTGAGTATTGTAGACTATAACGGTGCTTGTGGTCGATGAAAGAGTATGAAAGAGTATGGCCAGGCGTGTGACTTCCATTACTCCATAGTCGGACTTAAGGCTAAAAGCATTCATTACTGAGTGCACAAGCACTTCGGGACACATAAAACTGCACATTTACTCAACAAATATTCTCAGCCACGGCAGCGTGGATAATGTTATCATTGTCATTATTCCTCTCGTTAAATAGCCCATCATGTATATTTGTTGAATTCAAGCCAGTCACAAATTAAGTATTGGCGGTAGCAACACACTTATAGTGATACAGCCCCAGATTCGTTATTTTTGAACACTCAATTGCAAATTATTGGCAGTAGCAACAATTGATAGCATTGACAAGTTGACAAGAAAGTGACATGGCTATATGTAAACTAATCAAACCCAGTAGGTACGTAGGTACACATAGGTCAAACGATAAATCATTCTACTACAATAGCGCTGCTGGGAGATGATCCATCATTCTGTGTAGTGGGTGTACGTGCTAAAATGAAAAATCAGGATCAGAACTTCACAAAGAGGAAATCACTCACCGGTGGTACCAGGCTGAGATTCAGTTTTGCAAGGTTCACCATGAATTTCAGCACGGAAGACATAACACTGGTGGTGGTGGGCACGGAAAATGCAACCAGGGCAACCGTTTGTGGCAGGAGAAGGCAGTTCGGCAGCAGAGTTGAGTTCGGCAGCAGGGTTGTCGTGTGCCTGGAAGATTTGTGTGTAGATAATATGGAACATTGAGTATCAAGGAAAAGAATCAAAATTTACTCACCATCCTGGTCTCTGATCAGTTGCAGAGCGGCAGCGAGCTCGTTTATGGTGAAGGTTAGTGATTCCACTGAGGACGGAGTGCACGGCTGGATGCAGACTGTACAAGTACAAGTTGAATTGCTCATTTGAAAATGAATATGTGTTACTGCTAAATGGGGGTGAGGCTTTGACGTCTTGACAGCGGTAGCTTTTCATTTTGGGTTTGTCATGGTTTATATATATATACAATATGAAATATAACTCCGACACGATGTACTATACAAATAAAGGAACATGATTGGTCCTTCATAGATGGCTGAACCTTATTTTGAGGCTTGACTGTATGTTTAGTTTGGTCAGACGCACCTGAACTACGTGAAAATCCTACAGCCAGAAGCAAAACAAAAGTAAGCAATGTCTAAAATCATCCCATTCAGTTGCTGAGATCGATCACGGCACTCTAAAGCCTTCCAGCCGACTAACCGGACGCAGACCAAAAAAAGACAAGGTAAGCGGTGATGGCACACCTTCAATATTAATATGCTGTCATTGATCACACTACCATTGACAGATGGTTGGATCTCACTGGACAAGCGCTGAACAAAGAGATTACCTTGAGTCTCAATTCAGCAAGTTCCTGAAACAGCAGCTTCAGGGTACTTTATTAAATTTCTGGTCTAACGTTAGCATGGAGTTCTTACAGCGATGGCCTGAAATCAACATGCTGCACCCAGACAAGTCACCTTCGGAGCTTAGCGAGGCTGAGAATATGGAACTGGGAAAGGCAGTTGAGGTGCGCAAGAAGATTAATAATGATGAATTTGATTTTTGACTCAAAGAAATGCTCATTTCAAAAACAATTTCAAACAGCAACTTAAAAATTGGTTCAATTATAGATCTCGCAAAAGTGGTCGGTCGCAACTCAACGCAATGATGAAATCGATTACCAAGATGATCAGCAACAAGGCAAAAGGAACCTGGGTCCATACTGAGGTGGAAATATTTTCCAAAATGAACTACAACACTGCTGTACGGTCGCAGATCAAGGAGAAAATCAAGTGCAGCTTGCTCATAACTAAGAACGAGAAATTGATGGCAGTCAGGGAGTTGACAAAAGCGGCATATGAGGCCATGCCGTTAGAAATTCAGTTATTATGCAAAGCAAAAGCTGCCGAAGAACGTGAAGCCAAGGCTTCTACCATCCTCTCCGAAACTGCAGCAACCAGAACACCTACCAATGCACAGTATGCAAAGTGAGTGAAATTGGTCTGTTTCTATGTCTTGCTCACACTATCATATTAATCAGGGCGCTAGAGGAGTGTATCGGCCCAATATCACAATTTTTTGACACGGCGAGACAACTAACAGGTTGGGAGTGGACAGTCATTGGTGGAGGCCCCAATCCTCGCCTTGGAAGCATGCTTAATGTATTGAGGTATGTAGGTTCTGATACATATATTCCCCATTCTTAATGCTAATTGTTTTTAGCTACCACACAGGCATGAATCAAGCTGGCCTTACGTGGAAGCAGACGACTTCAAATTTCACAGACAAGCATCTCAACCCATACCTGAGCTATCTTGGGACAGTTTTTAGTATGTATTTTTCTTTCTTTTGAAGACGTATCTACTAATGAAATGTACAGCCGAGGACGACAGGAAGAAGCATGCGTTGGACTACGTGCCCCCTGCAGAACAAGAAGAGAATTCCTTCGAGGGCCCGACGATGTCGGATGCGAGCACCTCATTGCAGGCGGCTCTCTCGTTGCCTGCAGTGACCCCGATGAGAGTCCCCAAAAGCCTGCTGCCCTTTGACTCGCCAGGGCCCTCTCGCGTCAGCTCACAAGGACTCGACGACTCGTACTCTTGGGATTTTGATCCCAGCATTTTCAGCCAACCACCCTCATCATTGTTACCTTGGCCTCAAACACCCACACTCCCCGCATTTCTGTCAATGTCATCGGTAACTCCTTTGGCACCTCCTTTGCCTGATACTCCCATCACATCGTGGAGGAAGGAGTCTGAATTCTGGAATCCAATGAGTAATTTGATGCTGACAACATCTCCCACTGCACCTTTGACAGTGCCAATGTTCAACTTTGACAGTTGTTCTTTCACCACTCCTGGCATCACACGGGAAGTTCCAGTTCCTCTTCCCATGGTAACCAATCATCTCTCTGACGAAGTCATCCATCTCGCTGCTACTACTGCAGTCCACAATGTTCCTCTCCCCATGGTAACCAATCAATTCTCTGACAAAGTCGTTCTGTTATGACTTGGATGGTATCTGTTGGCGACGCTCAAACAGAGCGTGTGTCATCAACGGTCGAGGACGTCCTTGGGCTGGCCCAAGGTTAGGGGTCTTACTTGGTGAGGCTTCGGCAAGTAAGATTTGACGCCTATGTCCAAATCGGGTAGCTTATGTCAAGCGGGTGCGAGACGATCGATGAGTAAAGATCGAGACTATAGGCTTATCCGCGAGGAGCAGATAAGAAGATAGAATATAGACTGCTGGCGAGGCAGAAAGGATCACTCTGGTGAGAGTAGGAGGTCAAGAACCAAGTAGATTCAAGTTAAGGAATATGTTACATGGTAGCGAGTTTATATAGAGGACGGGAAGCGTATTAGTGGATGATAACTCGTACTACCAAGAGAAGTAAACGGTAAAGGGTATGACCATAAAAGGAAGGCATGTTCGAGGTGAGACACGGGTGAGCTCTGAACGTGCGGATAAGAAAGTGAGTCAAAGATCAGAATAAGAAGTGAAACACGCAGGGGCACGATCGTGCAGCTGCGGAGCTAAGTATAAGTCGCATGTGCGACTGCGCATCGAGTCAGAGATCAAGAAAGGAAACAGGGCAAAGGGGATGTGTCGTGCATCATATCATAGGTTACTGTCCGGATGGTAAGGGCAAGGGGACTGTCCGCAGGATCAGTCAGGTGGTGGAACGGAGCATGGATATGCTTCGTCAGCGAAAGGATCCGGCCAGATGTACTGGCTCTGCTGAAGCAACAGGTAGAGAGCGAAAGGGAATGCGAGAATGACAAGGATGACCAGGGTAAGGTCGGGGTAGGGGTATGATGCAAGGGCTGATACGAGGAGGATCAGGAGAAAAATGGTAGGGGCCCAAGCGTCTAGATGTTCTTGTAACACGTTCATCTCGCTGCTACTGCAGTCCATGATGTATCTACTCTAGCAGCACCTACCCCAGCAGCACCTACCTCAGCAGCACCTACCCCAGCAGCACCTACCTCAGCAGCACCTACCTCAGCAGTGCCTACCCCAGCAGCACCTACCCCAGCAGCACCTACCCCAACAGCACCTACCCCCCAGCACTTAGCCCAGCAGAGCCTACCCCAGCAGCACTTACCCATCCGCGGCCTTCCCAACCTTCTACTAACCCATCTCCCTCAGTCGATTTACCTCTCCGGAAGACAGGTTGGGTTCGCCAGGAGTCAACACGCATGGCGCAAGCGAACATGATAGGCGGGAGCGCGAAGAGACTCAGGACAGGCGAGGTGGAGAACGTCACTCAAAAGAAGTATGTACTTTTCTTGTCACTGTTGGACTTGAACAGTGCTAATATTATGACAGGAAATGTAAATCCGGCGCCTGAGTTGCTTGCCCATCAATATTTTGTAGCGATGCTTTCATTATATTAGTCCATACATACTGCACATATTGTAATACCCTTTCGGGGCACCATTGACTCATTAATACACATCGATTCCTTGCCTACAAATATGAGAGTATTTTCAGTGTCTGACTTAGTGAAAATTTCATGTGCACAAGTAAGTTCATTGTGAATCACATGCATAGTGCTGGACTTGACAACATTTCATGTGCACAGCGCTGTATATGCATTTGTACATACTATGGACGGGACTTAGTGAAATTTCAAGTAGTAATGGTGAATCCTGATTCTCATTTGGCATCACAGTGACAGACTTAGTGAGAAAAATCATATATAAACATGGTATACACTACAGTGTATCTAATCTCGATCATTAGCATCAAATTAATTGGCTAGACGGGTCAAGAACTGTGGAGAAGGGGGGGAAAGGCCGGGGATGAAGGCAATAAGCCTGAAAAAGCTGAGGACAGAAGCCACGAACAGAGGTAAGAACCCAGGAAGGGATGTACCTGCTAAATAGGGTGAAACAAAAGATCTGGGAAGGGGCGTACCTGTTCAAAATGAGCGAAACAAAAGATCTGAAGCATTGTGGGAAAGCGTGATGCTTCAACATAGAGACACAAAGCAGCTGGGAAGGACGTACCTGCTCAAAATTGGGTGTACCTGTCCAAAATGAGCGAAACAAAAGATCTGAAGCATCGTGGGAAAGTGTGATGCTTCAACACAGAGACACAAAGCAGCCGGGAAGGACATACCTGCTCAAAATGGGTGAAACAAAGCATTGTGGGAGAGTGTAAAGCTTCAGTGCTGCAGTGAGAGATGCAGCAAAGAAGCCAGGAAGGTGTACCTGCCCAAATTGGGCGAAACGAGGCATCGTGGGAAAGTGTGAAGCTTCAGCGCAGAGATGCAAAGAAGCTAGGAAGGCAGTGTACCTGTTCAAAATGGGCATTGTTACTGATGTCTGTAGCTTGATGCTTCATGAAGCATCAAGCTACAGACATCAAGGAACTAGACACATTGTGCATCAAGGTGTGTGTCTTATCACATACCTTTAAGCTTCAATCTGACAGTATAGCCTGCACCACTGGCCTCGCCAGCATAGCGAAACACCTCAAGGTGCCTGCCGAATGACGTGGCACTATCGTCGATTCTGGCGCCACATCCCACTTCTGCCCTGATAGGGCCAAGTTCATGAACTTCATCTGGATTCCCCTGCAGGAGATCCGCACGGCCAATGGTTCCTCCCTGAACGCTACAGGAAGGGGAGACGTCCACCTAGAGCTGCCGCTTAGTGAGAAACGCACCAAGGTCACCCTGAAGAACACGCTATACGCACCAGAAATGGCCTTTACCCTCATATCCACCCATCAAATCGCCGAGGCCAGTATGGCTGTACTTTTTGAGGGGCGCATGTGTAAAGTCTTGTCACATGGCCCCAACTGGAGAGTGATTGGGGAGATCCCCCAGGTAGAAGGTCTGTACAGTGTGGCAACAGGAGAGTCAGCGCCCATACATCATGCCAACATTGCAAAAGGGAAGCTCACCATCAACGAGCTCCACAGAGTGCTGGGACATGTGTCCCAAGTAGCAGCAGCCGACGCTGTAAGCAAGGGACTCGTTACCGGCATTAATCTTGATCCAACCTCCAAGACCAAATTCTGCGAGGCCTGCGTGAAGGCGAAATTGGCGTGTCAGCCAGTTTCCCAATCAGTTGAAATCCTGCACAAGCGCCTATGGAGAGTTGGTGCATACAGACCTGTGGGGACCAGCCCAGACCGCAAGCATTAGTGGCAGCCTGTACTATATGAGCCTCACCTATGATTACAGCCATCAGACAAAGTTATACTTTCTGAAGGCGAAGAGTGAGGTGCTCACCGCTTTCAAGGCCTATGAGGCTTGGATGGGCAGGCAAGGACCGGGAGCGAAGGTGCAGAAGATCTGTTCAGATAGAGGCGGGGAGTACCTGAGTGCAGAGTTCGACGAACATCTGCATCAGCAAGGCATCGAGCGTCAGCTGACCATCCACGACTCACCACAGCAGAATGGCGTGGCCGAACGCCTCAACTGGACACTGGTAGAGCATGCCAGAGCAATGCTCCTCACCAAGGATCTGCCGAAATTCCTGTGGGCAGAAGCTGTGAATTACGCAACATGGCTGAAAAACCACTTACCTTCTAGAGCCACCCCTGGCACCACCCCATACGAACTCGTCTGGAAGATGAAGCCTGACCTCGCATAGGCCCACAAATTTGGCACGAGGGTGTACGTCCATCTTGTGGATGCTGGGAAGCTGGAGGCAAGGGCAGAGGAAGCGCTGTTTGTGGGGGTTGATGTGGAGAGCAAGGCCTATAGAGTGTACTGGCCGTCAAAATGCAGGATTTCGGTGGAGAGGAACCTCACCTTTGCACCTATGGAAGTACCAGTTGCCAAGGATACCCTGAACAAGGGGGAGCCAGCTGTCATGCGGAATGACGAATACAACAACAACAGTAATAATAATACCACACCTCGCATTCAGTCTATCCCATCACCTCCTCCTGCCACCTCAAACGATCCCCAACACTCCGTTACCCCTCCAGAGCCAAGACCCACGAGGCACAGGCTGGGACCAGGGTACTATGCCGCCCTCCATAAGGGGGAGACAGTGACCATAGCAGTGGATTCCCTGTTGGAAGCATCAGAATTAGATCTCCTAGACGAAGAAAACCATATTCACCTTGCACTAGCAGCAGCTGAACCTGAGCCCACCCTTCATCAAGCCCTGAACAGACCTGACGCAGTCAAATGGCAAGAAGCGGTGGATTACGAAATTAGTCAACTTGAAAAGCTAGGTACGTGGGAAGTCATTGACCCACCTCAAGGCGTGAATATCATCCCCTGCCACTACGTCCTTGCAAAAAAACGTGGACCAGACGGCGAGAAGCTCAAGTTGCAAGCTTGACTGGTTGCTAATGGTCAGAGACAGCGGCAAGGCGTAGACTTCTTCGAGACATTTGCCCCCACTGCGAACATGACAACCATTCAGACCATACTGACTATAGCGGCTCAGCATGACTGGGAAATACATCAAGTCGACATCAAAAGTGCGTACCTGTATGTGAGCATTCAAGAGGAAATCTACATGAGACCGCCGCTGGGGTATCTGAAGGCTGAGAGGGAGAAGAAAGTGCTGAGACTGAGGAGGAGCCTACCTGGGTTGAAGCAGGCCGGTTTTGAGTGGGCGGGAGAGCTGGTGGGAGTATTCATTGCACTGGGGTTCCAACAATCGAAGGTCGATCAGTCCGTGTACTTCAAGCGTACCTTGAAGGAGCACATAGTCATCACGGTCTCCATGGATGACATGGCCATTACCGCTAACGACATCTCGCACATCCTACGCTTTAAGACCCAGCTCCAAAAACACTTCGAGATTATGGATTTGGGTGAGCTAAACTGGTTGTTAGGACTAAAAGTGACCAGGGATTGAGCCAGATGCACCTTAACGCTATCACAGAATGCCTACGTTGCCACCCTCGTCGACTGTTTCCACCTAACCAATGCGAAGAATATCCAAATGCCTATCGAGCCCGGAGCAGGCCTATCCATTGACCAGCCCCCAGCAACACACACCGAAATACACAACATGCGTGATGTACCTTACCAGAGGGCCATCAGCTCCTTGATGTATGTTGCAACAAGCACACACCCAGATATAGTGTTCGTTGTATCGACCCTTTCGCAGTTCATGCGGAATCTGGGCAGGCCCCATTGGGACACTGCCAAATGCGCCCTCCGGTATCTAAAAGGTACGGGAATCTTGAGTTGAAGTTGAGCGAAGGCGAGGGAGGACTTGAAGCAGAGCCCCTTCAGTGACAAATTCCATATTATACGGGTCACCGGACTATGGGCCGATGTTATGTATATCCCTGATATTGACGGATGGGCCGGGAGGGATATTATTTCCGATGGAGATGGGTGGGCCCATCTATGCTGATATTATATATATCATCGAAGATGTCGGGTGGGCCGATGTAATGGTTTATTGTATAGATGGGTGGGCTGAGGGAGCGGTGGAATATGTATTATATAGACAGGTGGGCTGATGTAAGGGTTTATTGTATAGATGGGTGGGCCAACATACTGGAATTATTTTGTAGATGGATGGGCCGAGGGAGTGGTGGAATATTCATTATATAGACGGGTGGGCCGATGGAGGGGGATGTTATATAGACAGGTGGGCCGAGGTAGTGAGATATCTGTCTGACATTCACGGATTACCGAGTCCCAGATGCCCAAAAACCGAATCCCATTGTGCAACATCCATTCCGGACACCCGAACACCCCAAGCTCGAGACTGGAAACTGGAAACTTGTGAAAATGTGTGAAATTTCTATTTCCTTACACCAAACACATGAACACCTGAACACCCAAAGCCTGAAGCTTGAAAGTCCAGTTATCAAATCACCGAGTGCCGAGTCCTGATAGACCTGAAGCCTGAGACCCAAAATCCGAAGCCCGAAACCCAAAAACATGTATGCAAAATGTCCATTTTTCATTCATTGCACAAATCACTGAGTGTCAAGTGACAAAACCTGAAACTTGAGACCCAGTACACAAATCACCAAGTACCAAGTGCCGAGGGCCAAACCCCAAAGTCCAAAACCTGAAAACATGTATATAACATATCCATTTTTCAGTCATTGCACAAATCACCGAGTGTCGAGTGCCAAAACCCAAAACTTGAAACCCGGTATGCAACATGCCCATTTTTTCATTTACATTAAACAAATCATCGAATGCCAAGTGCCGAGGCCCGAACCCCGAAACCTGAAGCCTGAAACCCGAAAATATGTATACAACATATCCATAT